TTTCCGTAGGAGTCACTCACAAGATCAAGTTCACTGTGTCAGCCAGCCTCCTGCAAAGGCAGCTTGTGAGATTTCTTTCACAAATTAGTGAGATGTCATTGACTGGGAACTTATTATTCAGGTGTTGACTATGAAATAAGGTGAACTGGGCCAATCCATAGGTTACTTTTGAAGGGATTTACTCACAATATCAGTGTAAATCTTTCCCCAGTTTTTGATTTTTAAGGTTTAAAATATGAACATGAACCAATGAAAATTACCCTTAGTTATACGTGACTGTGTATCAGATTCGTATTTCATTCCCTCCTCCTAGATATGCAGCTTTAAAGACACAGCACAGCTCAAACTCATGTGGAAATTGAAAGTTTGTTTATGTTCGCTGTGATTCAAAATGAGAGGGAACAGGAAGGTGTGAACATGAGATTTATTAAGGATTGTGAGCACAGGAGATAAACAATTCATCTTAGCCCAGATTGCCCCTGCGTGAGCCGCCAGTGTAAGTGTGTAAGTCTGAGGTGTAGGGCCTGACTTAGGGTTCCCATTACTTTCAGAAAATTATCTGATTTTTACATTTATTGTTTTGGGATGGTTTTCTCTGCTTGTATATTTTCCTCAAACTAGAGCCACTTTTTCAGATATTAATGCTCTAGTCCTTCAGTTCTGTATCTGAAAACAGGGAAATGGTTAGTCTGAACATCAGAAAAGCTACTTACTAATAACTGTTCCCTGTAAATTACACTGAACAGGTACATCACGCTGTATTTCTATAGAATTTACATGATATTAAAAATGCAGCCAGTATAAATCATTCATGAACAATGTCATCTGGTTCAGCTTTTTCACTTATTTCTTAGTAACCTCAGGTAGCTGCTGTGGCAAGTAATGTTTGTTTTTCTCTCTGTTTTCTTGAATACAAGTTACTTTGTATGTATTTACTATAGGGAAAAGAAAATGGTTTCAGATTTGAGCTGAAAAGATGAATATGTTAGTTAATTATGCAGTGGGGGAAAAAAATCTCAGCCCAATCAATATTCAGGTAGAGTGAAGAAATGCCCAGGAACTGAAAAAAATGTGAAGTAAGCTAGAGAGAAGGCTAGCAACTAGTGTAGAAGGAAGAGAGCAAAACAGTCCGCTGTGTGAGGTAAAGTTGAATCTTCTTAAAACTACTTACTTGGCCAAGCTATTGGTCTTTTAAGTAGACGATGGCTTTAGATAGTTCACAGCTGATATACAGTTAGAGTAGTGCCAGGAGTTGTTGAGGAGGGTGAAAGTTGGACATAGCTGAATAAACTATTTTACGTGAGAACGAATGATGTTCTAAAAAAAAAACAAAACACCAAAATATTTTCAGATGTACCATAGTATTTGGTGTGAGCTGTCAGAGCTGCAGGTGGGAGATGTTGGACTGGGCAGTACCACAGGGTCTCTGGGCTGCCTCTCAGCTGTGCCAGCAACAGGACGGTAGCCTGAAGCCTGCCACCACCCCCGATTTCAAAACCCCCGCCTGTCAATGCACCCAAGTGACATGTTCAGGTGGCAGTGAAGATGTGATCGACTCAAATATTACCTGGCAGCTTTGAGCTGCAGGCCGAATGCAAACGCAGCTCCCCCAGCAGCAGTCCCTCTCGCGGGGCTCTGCTCTGTGGTCCCCTTACAACGATCCCACTGGTGGAAGTGGTAGTTTCTGAGAAACAGAGCATCTTGGCATCACTATTTCTAAATTTTACAAAGGTCTGCTTTTTTGCCACCTTTTGTCTTGTTTGCAGTGAAAGCTCTCCGAGAATATAAAGCAGACGCACTCAGTGGGGTGAACGAGTTGCCTTTTAATTTGAGCGTTTCTAAATGGTGTGGTTTGGGCCTGACACAAGTAACAGGCATCCTCAGATCTGTTGCTTTGTCCGCATCTCATTGGAAGGCACCTCCTCCCAGGGTGCTGTCTGGGGACACAGCTCTGTAAAGAGATTATGTCCGCTGAGAGCGAGGAATCTCGACCTTATCAGCGGCACAGCCAGCCGCAGTTCCAGCGTCTACCCAAGCCAATGCCGAGGCGAGCCCCGAAGATCACACCAGCCCTCGCCCAGCTCGGTGCGGCTCCGTGCTGACTGGGAGGCAGGCTTGTGACATTTACCTTGAAAAGGTCTCCTTTGTTTTTGTAACTCGAGACTCCTTCCGTGAGATTTTACAGTACTCTGAAGTGATGAGGGCCTCATTTTTTTTTGAAGGTCGCTTTAAATAATGTTAAACTCTGTTTGGGGTTTGCTTGTTTCTTCCTGTGTTGTGAAAACACTTACACACGTTGCCATGTACCACTGCCCACCCTAGAGGTGTATCTCCACCTTTCCTTGCACTTCCTTTGTGGAGAGCTCATGTAGGTTCATAGCATACGATTATTTTATTTCAATTACACCCCATGCAGAAGAGCTCCAGAGAACAGCAATGGTCTCCTGGAGGGCTCGTTCCCCGAGAAACTGTAGCTGCACTGACGAGCCACAGGATTTTCTGCAGCAAAGTCCGGACAAAATCGACCACTCTTTAAAACAATGCTTCCTGGCAAGTGATGTTCAGTCAAATGGAAGACCTCCCGCAGTGTTTCAGTGCCCACACTGGGCTGCTGCTACAAAGTGCAACAACTGTGCCTGCTGAGTTGAGTCCCAGAAACTCACAGCTAATGCATCCAGAAATCCTCCTGAGTACCAGCTGACACTTCAGGCTCCTTTACCCAAACAGTGTCTTATCTGAGGAGAGATGCATATGTAATTTTATTTCAGGCACCAAACGGAATGTTGTTTTCATGTTTACAGCATTGGATGTTCTAGCTTTCATATGACAAAAGCTTTATACGATTCTCTTTGTTTATTAAGGGGACAGCTTTACTGACTGTAGATCAGAGACGATGGGAAGATCTGAAAAGCAGACTGAAGATAGCACAACCTCTTCATCTCCCACCTCGTCCGGGTATCAAAGATATTTTGATTTTACTCATGTTGAGCTCTAGTGTTCATAATTCCCCAGGAGTCTGCGATTCAAATTAAAATTGTAATCGTGAGGCCACTAGGAGGTTGTGCATAAGTTAATGTGGAAACAGGCTCCAACTACAGATCTCTGCATAAGGCTATTAAAATCAACCCAAAAAAGGTTGCGCTTCGATGGTTTTAGGATAAGCCTTAATGAAAAAATGAATTTCTAAATGAAAAATATTTGCAGTTGGCTGTTAGTGATATGAATGGAATGTATTAACCTGACAGCAGTTGAATGATGCACTTGCCCTACAAGTACCAAAGCCTTCATGCAACAGTGGTGTTCAGTATTTGAAATTATATGTTCAGAAGCCCTATTTGATATGGAAAATTGTAGCAGAAAATTAGAAATGTATTTTGAAACTGGCAAAGGATTATTTTGCCACTAACGAACATGGAAAAGATGTCAAGAAACTCTTTCTTTTTCAGATAACGATGGCTTTAGAGCTAAGATGTATGATATAACTCAGCATCCATTTTTTAAGAGAACTATTGCTGTACTTGTTCTGGCCCAGTCTGTGTTGTTATCAGTTAAGGTAATTGTGTTTCTTTTACGTGTTTCATTATAGTAGTACAACATGTGTTGCGCATTTCCTACCGCCAATTAACAATCAGTTGAGCCATTATTGTGATGAATGTAGGGTTTTTAATTTGCAGTTAAGCTGTAAATCTGTGAGAGAAGAATACACCAAGATGGAATTCCTGTCTGGATATATTTTAAATAAAAATCTATTCATTAACAAAACCTGCAAGAAAAGTTAAGGCAATGAATAGACATTTAGTTCTGTTTAACAGCTACTCTTCTATGACCAGATTTTGTTTGCATTTCAGTGGGATGCTGCAGATCCGGTGACTGTGCCTTTAGCAACAATGTCTGTTGTTTTCACCTTCATTTTTGTCCTTGAGGTAAAGTAATATATTTTATGACTTCTTGAGATTAAGACTAGTATGTATATATTTCATTTTGACTTTAGGGATGTTGTCTCATTCTTCACTATGGTTTTCATTTCTGAACATCTACGTTTGGGGCTCTCCATGTCACTTGTCTTTAAACACGCATTGTAGGAATAAACTTCTAATTTGTTATAGTCATATTTCACCGCTTTCAGCTTTGTGTCCTTTATATATATTCAACTCTGAGCATTTCAGCTTGTGTTTTGGTGAACCTACTGAACTCTTTTCTTGCAGAACATCTTGGATTAAATTCACCCTGTACAGCACAAAGGTCTGTGTTATATCATGGAAGTTCTGCTCGATCCATTTCCATTTTGCCTGGTTCTTTGGAACAGGCTGCGTTAATCTGCACCCTTCTGTAACCGTGATATCATCAAACCTCTCTCAGTTTTGGTTTTTTTTTAATTATCATACTTCATTTTAATACCTTTTAATAAGCTATGTCAAATTCCAGTATTATCTCTTTTGTTGTACAGATCTGATCCTGTGTGGTAATGGTTCTCTGTCTATCAGAAAACTGTCACCACAATCAACTGTGCAAAGTGCAATTAGCCTGTTTTCATAAGATTGGAATCTAAGGACTTAAACACATTTTTAAAAGCATATATTTTTTTATGTGTAAGGATATCTGTAGTGTAACAAAGCACACTTGTATGAGGTTAAAGAAGATGCTTCCTCTGTGGTTAGGTTAGTACATAATTCTTTTATAAGTTTGTGTTTGACTATTTTTCTTTTCAGTCCCCTCTGAACAGCTGATACTGACCACTATCAGAAACAGGATAGTAAACTACATTTCTCACTGCTCTAATCGAAGATGACAGTTCCTATGTTCCAGTGATAAGGCTTGCCAGCAGTGATGAATAAACAATGAATTGAATACCTTGTAGCAGCAGTAGCTAGAGTATGTCCATGTTGTTGCTTCTTTTTTCCCTACCCAGGAGAAATCAGTATCTCTTGAGAGACTGAGTAAACACAGAAAAGTTTTATTTGTATCATACACAGACAGGTTTTATTTTATCTAGTAACTGTGTCTTTAGAAATACTTTTTTTCTCTTATACTGCCAGAGGAGACAAATGCACTTCTAGAATTTCAAAGGTACTTTGTCAAAGCCAAGAAAAATTTGTTGACTGTCTCAATGGGCAAGCCATCACATCACACTGTGAGTGCCCGTGATTTATGGAGAGAGGAACCAGATGCCTGCCCAGGATCTTCACTAACGCAGCATAGTCTGCTATGTACACAGTCTGCTACCACTAGCAGGCATGGTCCATGAGGAAGGCCAAAGCTTTCTGCATAGCTGATGGCCCTATGTCCAGTCTAGGAACTCCTGATTCAGTCTTAAACCTCTGCTGCTCACATCAGTGCATGCGGTGTAGAAGAATAGGAAGAGTTTGGAGATCTCACTTTTGTTACCACACTGATGATCACAGAATAAAGTAAGATGTGATTTTTTATTTGTGCGGTGTGGTATTCAGTTCAAGATTGTAGACACCTGAACTTGGGTGTTTATATTCTACGTGTGAGGTAGATGTTTAAGCTGTCCCTGTGATCAAGGGAGATATAGGGTGAGATTCAGTTGCCTAAATAACTGAAGGCATCAAAAGCTTTTTTGGATACTCTTGCTGATCTCCCCTTACCTCCACTAGTTGCTACAGAAGGGCAGGGATGTTTGCAGGTCTTGTGTCATCCCTGCCAGCCTTACACAGCTGTCTCCAATATTCTGTGGCATCTCAGCTGACTGGATAGAAGGAGACAAGATACCTTCAGGCACCTCAAATGATAATCAGAGATTCAGAGACAATATTCTCAATTTTGTAGTCAGTCTTCAGAAAACATTATATGGCAAAAAACTAACTGGAAGATCAGCCTTTTACCTCAAACTAGTGTCCTTTTATATACGATTTAGGTTTCAGAAATGTAAAGAGTACTGCTAAATGGCAGTGTTGCAAGGTAGGATGGAAAAAATAATGTAATGAATGCCTGGCATTTATAGTCTTTATACAGTAACACTTGATTTGCTTTGAGGCTTAATACAAATTGCGTATGAGAAACTCTCCAGCGTTCCCTCTACATGCATCACCCTACCTTGATGTCTGTTAGCTGTTGTGACTATTTCTTATCAGTATCTATTCTTAAGCTTCCTGTCTGCACTCTTATTACCTGTATTGGAAATGTCAAGCACTGTGGCTGCTGTCTTTTACCAGGTACATTGTAAAATGTACTGCCTTTAGTGTTCTTGGCTTTCTTCTCTTATATGCTGCTGAGTACAGATGGTGCTGAGTATGGAGTATTCCTTAAAGCAAGAAATATTTGCAATGTGGGAAAGCTTTTTAATTAATTTGAACTATAGGTGCCACAGAACACAATTATATTCTTGAGTTCAAATGTGCTTATGTGATTTTAGCCGGATTAGAAACAGCTAGCTGGATAGGATAGTACTGCCTCTTTTAGCTACCTGTCATTGACATAATCCTTTTCTAACTTCATGACTTGCTTAACTATAGGAAATCTTAAGCCCACATTCACCTGAGCAATTTATACAGTAATTTATGCAGTCTGAGGTGGTAAGCTGCACTCCTTCCTTCAATACTTGATGGAGAGAGAGAGACACTTCCGGAATACCCCTGGTCTGGGTGATCTGTGGCCTTCTACTAATACCAGTTTTCATCCATCTAAGGGAAGATTATATGATCCGGTTAGTCTAGCAGCCTAACTTGTCCACATGGTGACAGTTAGCTGACATGAATCCTGTCCTTGGCTGCTTGAAACTGTTTCATGAGATGAACTCAACAAAACATTTCAGAGACTGGAAAAGGTTCTTATAGCAAGAAATAACCATTTCTTCAGTACAATGGAGAAATTCTTTTTATCCATAGGTCACAATGAAGATTATTGCCATGTCACCTTCTGGCTTCTGGCAAAGCAGAAGAAATCGGTACGATCTCTTGGTGACATCTCTTGGAGTTATATGGGTGATACTTCACTTTGCCTTACTGGTAAGATTTGCAAAACACAGTTCCAGTGTTTAAGGTTGATTTTATCTGTTAAGCACCAACAGTAAAATCACTGCTGTACATCCCGATAAATCTTTGGGAGTTTGATAAGGCTGAAATATGGCTGAAACAAATTAAGCTTGATGCTAAGAAGAAGGAATCATTGTCTTGGGCAATGATGAAGTACAAAAGTTGTCTTACTAATATGAGGTAGAGTCTTTAAATGTGGTAGAAAACCGAAGTCTTAAGGAGGGATGTGAGCGAGGAAAGGAAGGAATCTGAACAGGCTGAGAGCTCTTGCCAACAGCAGTCTCATGAGCATCAAGTAAGAAAGAGGCAATGCATAGAATTCAGACAGGAGCAGAGGACTGGAAGAAGGCAAAAGTTCAAAATTGCTGAACAATGCAATGTGTCCCAAATCCAGCAGCGATTCTGGACCACAGGTATCGGCTAAAGGGCAAGGTTTATTCCAAGAAGGCATGGAGGAGAGGGGAGGAAAGCAGCTCTCCCTCCATCCTACACCAGTTTTTAAATTTGGCTACCCCCCTATTTGTGAGGAAAGGAGAAGGGATAGTTGATACTTGTCATCAATCACAAGTTGTCAAAGTCACAACCCTAAAATGGCTGTGGGCTTCTCTCTTGTCTGCCCCAAGCTCTGTTTGGAGGAAAACCTGTCTTGTGTGACTGGTCATTTTGCCCTGACATTCACAGTTTGCTCCCTACTGCTGAGTAGCTTGGAAGGCCTGAGGAGTTTCTGTAAGCCAGCAACTGCCTAGAGAAGTAGACTGGGGCTGCTGAACACAGTTACAGCCCAGCTACTGAAGGATGGAAGTTTTTTTTATTTGATGTGTGGAGAGGTTGGAGTAGTGTTTTTGAAGTGGTAGAGCATCTTCTGTGATTTTCTTACTTCTCCCCTGTTACTGAAATACTAGTGCTACTAGTTTATGATTTCTCTTATTTCATATGGCAACTGCCCTGCATTATTAAAAGACCAATTATTATGATGTTTCCATGAGATCCCTGGGGGACAATGTATTAAGTCTTCTGTGTTTCCATTCCAGAATGCATACACATACATGATGGGGGCGTGTGTAATTGTCTTCAGGTTTTTCTCAATTTGTGGGAAGCATGTAAGTATAAATTAGGAACTGCAACCATTGCAGTGCTCATGTATAGATTAAAGGACTAGTTGCTATGCATCTCTAGTGCACATTCTGTACGGCTTCATTTGGCATGCCAAAAAAACAGGAGACTTCAAGCAGCAGTCTGCCAGTTTCACACGCTGTCTTTAAAATGTCAGGATTTTAGGTATATTGTATAATAGCACTATATTATGGTTACTGGAAAAGCTACATTTTTTGAAAAAAAAAAAAGAGCGCAACTGCAATACCACACAGTTTTTTAAAACAGCTCTCTAAAACTCTGAACATACATTGTGCTACTTTCAGTCCTTGCCATTTCAGTGTGGTGTGATGTGCATGCTGTTTACTTATTTTCTCTGCAAGACTAGTGGAGTGGTGGGTGATGCTCTCATATTGTTATGATAGTGCTCTTTTATAGAAATTTATTCCTCACAGACAGGTCTGTGTCTTGTGTCTCTACAATGTACGTCTCATCACAGTAAAGGATTTATGTTCAATTTAGAAAAAATACTGGGCCAAGATAATTTTCTGGAAACATTTCATGGTGGCAAAGCAAGTCACTTCAAAAGTTTACATTTCTTTTGTGTTTGGATTTGCTCTGGTGTAATTGAGAGTAGGCTGGCAGAATAAGCGTAGGTGGAGAACAAACACATTTGTTTAACAAGTGGTGACACTCTGCATTCTCTTGCTGTAGAACTTCTTAGGCTATCCAAACATTTTCTGTGAAGTCTGACATATTAAAGCAAATGTGATTAAAAGACTGCTGCATTAGGTTGCTGGGGTTAAGAACAATAAGTCAGAGGGTTTGTTCAGTAAAGATAAAAAATTTTCTTTCAATCAAACTACACAGAGCCTGTAAAGCCTTGGAAGTCAAATGAAAAATCCTTGCTTCTCCTGTGCAGCCAGACCAAGTGATTGCCTTCAAAGCTTTCTGATTGATTCTAAAGTTTTTTCAAGGTTTTAACCTAGTCATTTGTGCTTTAATATTAGGAGCTGTATCAATTTCACTAATTTATCTGTTGTGATGCAATGAGATAGCTTAAAGTCAGTGTGAGTTATCAGTTTGGCATGATTCTAAAGAAAACTGCTACCCTCAGTCCCATTAAACAGAATTTTCCATAGCATCCAAAGTGGTTAAGGGTGTTAGGACAATCTAGGCAATAACTTTTTCAAGAGTAAAATGTACAACATGCATGTATGGAAAAGTAGTATCTATTATCTAGGCCTACAGCCTATGTAATTTTGTAACTATGCTCTCTTCTTAAGCTCTTTGGCCAACTTGCATGAGAATTTACTAGTTTAATCAAGCTGTGCTGATCTTAGTGAAATGCTCCTCTCTATACATCAACCCATTGCTTTAGACAGGCTGCAGTATCTGTGGTTTCCACCTAACAGTTAGCAGCACTTTCAGATAAGGCAAAAGTAGTTCACCACACCACTGTTCATGCAACGCTGATTTTGATACTTCTGGAGTATACTGATCCTAGAATATTGTAGTTAAGCTGTATTATTGCTTTATTGTCCTACACTGTATTATCCTATATATACTCTTTGAGGAGCAACATCTTGACCTCGTAAGGTAGGCGGATATGCTGATCTCTTCAACAAGTAAAGAGCATATTGAATTTTAGAGACAGATACAAAATGTTCAGTTCCAATCAAATTCGTAATGTACCATTTCACTGGGCTCATCCATTAAAGTATGTGTGTAAAGAATTCATTGTCAAAATGGCAAATGCAATAACTCTCTTTTCCCTTTTATCTCTGATTTCCTCAATGGCGTCATGGATTGCTTGTTCTCTGTCCTTCCAGGTGACACTAAAAATGCTACTCCTGACCGTGGTTGTCAGCATGTACAAGAGTTTCTTCATCATAGTGGGAATGTTCTTACTGCTTCTTTGTTATGCTTTTGCTGGAGTGGTTTTATTTGGTACAGTGAAATATGGAGAGAACATTAACAGGTACAGTATGCGCTTAACTACCTCATGGGGATGTTCTTTAAAAAGCCCAAAAAAATCACATTCTGCTAGAGAAGAGTTTATCTGTGGTGAAACACAGACAAGTCCCCAGGCCTAGCTGAAGAGCTCTAAACAGAATTTCTGGTAGGAGACACTGAGCCATCTTTCCAGTCCTTGTGCATTGGACCAAATGACACCCGACCCAGCCCAGAGCAGAATGACAGCTGTTCTTCATTATGCCAGATGGAATATGCTTCAAAGCAGCACTGCGCTGGCCCCGGGCTGCTGAAACACAGTGTACCTGCTACACCTTATCGGTGTCACCCAGGAACAGGATCCATTTACCAGGCTGGTACAGAGAGGGGACAGTGCTGTGAACTGACTCTTCACTGGGGATTTCCCAATCAATAGCATCGTCGGGCTGCAGGAGGAGAATGGAGACAGGAGATAGGATCTGGCCTTGAGTCTGCTTTAGCTCTTCAATGTAATGAGCCAAAATACTCAGACCTATGTCTGAGCTAGAGTTCAGTTATTGTAGCTTAAGTCATGGAATAAATAATTCAATGAGCCCGTTCAAATAATACTGTAAGTATTTTTAGTTTAAAACAGTAGAACAATAGAAAATTGAGATTATTTGTGTTTTTTTCTTGCCAACATTTTAGTTCTGGGACATGAAATGATCTCTCTTTCTCTCTTTAAAACAGACACGCAAATTTTTCATCAGCTGGCAAGGCTATTACTGTACTCTTCAGAATAGTTACTGGTGAAGACTGGAACAAAATTATGCATGACTGCATGGTAAATACAATACTGCCAGAGATAAAGTAGGCAAGAAACAGGAGACACCCTTGGATCTCAAAGTGTTTCCAGTGTCTTAGCTTTGTATAGGGAATGTTGTGATTGCCCGTATCTCTTCAAGGGATATGATGTTCACTAAACCTCAGAACATGATGCACAAATTGCAGTTCCAATCACTCACTCAGTGTAATATTTCATTGGGCTAGGCTATTACATGATTTAAAAACAAAAATACAAATATGTTTTCAAAATCAGAAGTGCAGTAACTCACTTTTCCACTGTTATCTCTGCTTTGACGGAGGCAAGGTGGCTTTTCAGATTAACTTTGTCTTCGATGCCCGCACTTTGGCTTGTTCTGTGTGAACAGTAGTCTTAAGGACCTCAGTTTGTCCTTGAATCATTTTATTTTGCCCAAGTAAGTGTCTGTCATTTCCATTGCGATGAAAATCATATTCCCTTCCTTTTTAAAATGAATGGGCAAGAAAGCTTTTTGAAAAGCACCGTGTTTTAGAGCACCAAGTTGTTTTTTAAAGTGGCATAATGCACAATGTGCCTTATGTGTGGTAGTGAGATCCACGCCTAGGCCTTTTTTGTCATAACTCTCTCTGATTTTTGATTTCTAACTACTAAAGGAACAAAAAAAACCTGCCCACAAGAACGTCCACAGTATTATTCCCTAACTGGGAAGCTTTAAAGAACTGATAGACAGAAGTATAGTATTGATTGCAGAGAAATTAAGAATCTCTTTTTATGATTGATTGACTTTATTTTCTTTTGTTTTGAAGGTTCAGCCTCCATTTTGTACACCAGATAACAGCACCTACTGGAAAACAGACTGTGGAAATTATGCTGGTGCTCTTATGTATTTCTGTTCATTTTATGTCATCATTGCGTACATCATGCTAAATTTGCTTGTTGGTAAGTGAAAATGTACATTAATAAGAAAAAGGTCCATCTTGGCATGTAGTATGTTAGACTTGAGTCTGTTGTGCCATCCAGATATGAGGCTACCTTGTACGCTCACTGTTACCTTATATGCATATGATGGGTTTGATAGTTTTCTGGCATGGTGTGTGCTAAAACTCAGGAAGATTGGGAATGAAAGTTTTTTGAACAAAGAGATGTGTTGTGTTTGCAGAGTATAGTTACCCTAAGGAATATTATTTTCTGAGCTTTTCCTTCCCACAGGCAACATTATCCCAATATCGTTGGAATTCTCCTAATTGATTTTAGAAGATGTTAGATTAGGCATCTCACCAGCATTTAAGATATAACTTTTAAAAAGTGAGAACAGTGAATATGGACATAGCATGTCAGTATATTACTTATTCAAAATCCTTGCCTGAACATACAGCTAAAGACATTTATTAGTGTGAAGTTTGCACAACAGAATTCATATTCTGTGGAAATGTATTGTGGCTTGTAGAGATTAACCATGTAAAAAGTAACTACAGGCTTTCTTGATTTTGTGGTTTTCAGCGATCATTGTGGAGAATTTCTCATTGTTTTATTCAACCGAAGAAGACCAACTTTTAAGTTATAATGATCTTAGGCATTTTCAAATTATATGGAACATGGTTGATGACAAAAGAGAGGTAAGAAACTTGATAATGAGCACAGAAATCCAGTAAATGTACATTTTTCCTTGAAAATCGATATGGGGAAAACAGCGTGCTGACAAAATTCACTGAGCAGTTACTGTTAAGGTTGTGAAAGTTCAGTAAGCATGATCTAACATTGTTTATGGCCCTTCAAATACTAACCTGTATTCTTTACTACTGTGAAATACTTATAATAGTAGATTTGAAAACACATGTAGGTATTAATAGGATCAATACGATCGAATCATGCCTGACAAATTTGATGGCCTTCTACAACGGGGTTACTGCTTTGGTAGATAAGGGAAGAGCAACTGATGTCATCTGCCTGGACTTGTGCAAAGCACAGTTTTGGAGGGAAATACTTCCAGTCATAATTTTTAACAGCAGATCAAAATTGTTTTCACAGGAAGTGCAACATCTGCTAGGTTGACTCTTAGAGCAGAAGACCTTTGAAAAGCCAGTAAAAACTTCCAACATTCGGCTGTCCAAAGGTGCACAGAGAAGAGGACAGTTTTACAGTCAGGTATAGGCCTGGCTGTGAATGTTTAAATTGAAGTTTAATTTCAGTTTCTCAAAGGCAGCTATTTGGGCGTATAATTCTCAATACAGATTAATGCAAAAGGGGAAACTAAATCCCCAAGCAATTTTAAAAATTTCTGGCAAAATTAACAGCACAGATTCTCATTGTATATCAGTCAAATAACAGCGAAGACTTCCATGAATGTGCTGAAAAGCTGGCTGCATGTGTATATTCATCAGTAATGTATTCACAGTGACTGAAATAGGCCAGGACTTGACACAGAGTCTTTGGAGAAATAGTGTTCCTCTCACTGATCAAGTTGAATGTCTGAGTTGGTTGTTAGGTCGCAGTAATAATTTACCATCTATTATGCAATTTTACCCAGGGAGTAATCCCTACCTTCCGAGTGAAATTTCTGCTGAGGCTTCTGCGGGGCAGGCTGGAGGTGGATCTCGACAAGGACAAGCTGCTGTTCAAGCACATGTGCTATGAAATGGAACGGCTCCATAATGGTGGGGATGTCACTTTCCATGATGTGCTCAGGTACTCTGAGATCTTCTCTATATTTGTAGAACAGTAGTTCTAGTAGTGGCCTGTGTTTCTCTCCAGGCTAACAGGTATTCATTAGGCTTGGAAAAAGGCAAGACTGATACCCACAGAGGCACTGCCGTTTCAAATGTAATATAAAGACCAGATTTCCCTTTCTTCCTGCAAAAATATTAGCGATGGAACACATGGGTCCTAGGAAATCAGCTCTAAGTAATTGCAGTGTTTTCGTTGGAGACAGTTTGTCATAAACAGCAGTCACGTGTTGTTCTTGTATCCTAAGTAATGAAATGTTGTCCCCACATCATGACAGTGAATATGACTAGAAATAAAATAGAAATGAGAACATCCAAGCATAAACACTTAGGGGGAAGAAAGACCCAAATGACCACAAATACTTACAGTTCAGTAGCTCACCCGAATTGGATAGCTAGAGGTAGGTGATAAGGTCCTCATTTGTTTTAAGTACCACAAGTCTCTTCTGGAATCATTTCAGCATTTTCTAGCTCCAAATGCGATTTTATTGCACACACCTGAATTATGTATTTTTGCACGAAGGTCTTAAATATGAGCTTTTAAATTAAAATGTAAGGTCATGGGCATTAAAAATATATATATATCTATGTTTCTTCCAGCATGCTTTCATATAGGTCTGTTGATATCAGAAAAAGTCTTCAACTGGAAGAGCTGCTTGCTAGGGAACAACTGGAATATACCATAGAAGAGGAGGTGGCCAAACAGACCATACGCATGTGGCTGAAGAAGTGTTTAAAGCGAATCAGAGCAGTAAGTCAAGCTAAACCAGGATCTAAGTGGTTGCAGAAATTGTACTGCTCAGCAATGCTGGAATTTGCTGTCACTATGCTTCATTTACTCTGCAGTCACGATAATATTTATGTGAAGAAATACGTAGCAGTTGCTAACTCAGCAAAAAAAAGTATGTTACAGCTCAATTGAAAGTGCTACAAAAATAAGCATCCTTTGAAGGCAAAAACTGTCTTCCTGCCAAAAATTTATCTGTCTTTTCAATACAGCAGGAAGATGCATGTGCAGAGACCAAAGTCAAAGGAATAAAGGAAAAACAATGTAATTCGATGAAACCTCATAGACCTAATCGTTCCTCACAGAATGTAATTGTGTAATTTCCTTGCCTCTGCTGGCAGAAGATACCATGATCAGTCACCAGCAGATGACTCTTCAAATGGAACCCGTGTCAAGACACATCATTTCAGTGAGCCGTTACAGTGACTGTGTGTGCAAATGAGCGGTGTGTACATGCAAACCAGGTGTACGAACTGTGGCACACAGTAGCTCTGTCTGTGGCAGTAAATGAAGCAGGACCAAGGCATTGGCTCCGGACTGGCATGGGGTCACTCATTAGCATGTTCCTCAGCACAGTTTCGGCCTCTGCATACTCATACTCTCCCAGACCACTGCCGTAGGAGCATCACTGCCCTCCAGGCACGGGTCAGGGTGGAGAGTGCTCCCAGTAGACAGTGGTTGAAGCTGTCTTGTGTGGTAGAGGGAAGATCAGCCAGACCATGCAAGTCCTGGCCCATCATTTGGCTTCAGCACTGCATGCAATCCCAGTCTGTTTCATTTACTAGTATAGACCTAGCCAGTCCTTCTGTATTCTGTTCATGCAGTGCTTCTGATATCAGAAACACTTTGCCTTTGATCAGGATAGCTGCAGTATATGCTGGTTGAAATTTGTTTGGGATTAAATTTATATTTTAAAAAATCAGGAAATTTGTTTTGCAGTTATTCTTCTCTTTTCTTCCAAAAACAACTCTTCCTTTATGTAAGAAGTCACAACCTGGTTGCCTTGATGACTGATTTTTTAGTTATTGTAATGCAGAGTCCAGGTTTTGATGCATGTTTTTTTTTTATTTTTAGAAAAGCTTACTTCTTATGTATGAAGGTTTTTCACAGAGACCTGTGAACATGGAATCTGGCTTTTTCTGTTTGTAAATTTATAAAAAAACATCAGTGGACAATTTGAATGTAATGTATATTCCAGCTGAAACGTCAGTGTTCAAGGCATAATCAGATAGTTTCATTTTGATCTCATCTCTGTAATAATAATGGCAGTAAATTTAATCTCAGCTCTCAGTTCTGGATTTGTTCAACTCCGTTGTTCATTTCATTATGGTATTGAATTACACTACGCTAAAGTAAATATGCTATTCATTTCACTCTAATAATGTTTTTCAGATCATTTCACATTATATGAACCTTTTATAAACTGAATGTAATTATGGAAGTTAATATATATTTTCAAATTCTCTTGTTAGTCTCTAAGTGTCTCTAGAGGGAGCATGTGAAAACAACCCAGGAAAGAGAAACCCTTCCTAACGGCTGTTTATTTTAATTTGAAAGCAAATTAGATTGTAAGATTATAAAGATAGTGGGTTTGTTTTTCTATTTGTATTGTAAATCTATACTCAGTCCCAAGGTTTCCACTACTGTTTTATTCAGTCTTATTGACAGCCTGTTCCAAAGTCCATGAAAGAAAGCAGATTTTTTTCGTTTCCTTTGTGTAATTCTTAGTGAATCTCTACGAATTTCCTTGTTTCTTTTTCTTTGCGAGAACTTTTAACTCATAAATTCAAAATTTTGTATGTTTTTAAACTCTAGGTTTAAACCAACATTTGAGCAATTTGCCTTCCGCTTAATATAAGTTTTATCCTCTATTCCCTCCATAAAGGTTAGACATATGCTGGAAGTCACTTTATTTAAATAACAACCATCTGATAAATGTAGCTTTATTGATGCACCTGGTATCCACATCTGGCACTCACCGTTTGGTTAAATATTTAGAAGGCTTTAAAAAAAATCAAACACTGACACACCGACGAGAACATTTTTGTTGTCACATCTTGTACCTTGATAGAAACAACAGCAGTCGTGCAGCATTATCCATAGCCTACGAGAGAGCCAACAGCAGGAGCTGAGCCGATTTCTGAATCCTCCCAGCATTGAGACAACGCAGCCAAGTGAAGATATGAATGCTATCAATCAGGATAACAGTGCACAGCCAGAGGTACGTTAACCACAAGACTATCAGCTACTCAGAACAAACTCAGATAACTTCCATCTTTCTTCTTTCTTCTTTTTTAAACATCATTTTAACTGGGAAAGTTGAAAGCAATATCTTGTTTTGCTTCAGTCTTTGCCTTCAAATGTAAAGGCAAGATGGTCTAAGGCGGTAATTCCCCAGCTTAGTTAGCTGTCTTGCTAGCACCGTAAAGGTCAAACTCAGCTGTACGACAGCAGCACCAGCTTCCAGCTCTAGCGTGATCTGTGTATGGGCTCAAGGATGTGAAGCTTTCCTGTTCAAGCATTTACACTGAGAGTGGCAACATTGAGCGTGCTGGGTCCTCTGAGTAGGAGTCCTGGCCTCGTCCAGGGTAGGGAATGAAGAAGGTACAACATAAGGACTCCACTGTAGAAGGCTGAGAACAATTTTGTACCCTTAGGTGGGACTGTATAATGGAATTGAGCCCAATTTGACTTTTTATTTTTTCCTATTAGTAGTAATTTTCTGGGTCAGTAAAGAACAGAAACTATGCTGCCTTAAAAAGTGGCAATAGGTTTTGTTTGTATTCATGTATAAAGCTTGGAAACAGAATAGAAAGATAAGCCTTCTTAGGATTATTCCCATGCAGTGGGGAACGATGACTGAGATTCTTTTTTCTCTCTTCAGACAAGTAGCCAGCAGCAGCTCCTTAGCCCAACGCTTTCTGACAGAGGTGGCTATCGACAAGACTCTGCAGATGCTGGGAAACCTCAGCGGAAATTTGGACAATGGCGTTTGCCATCAGGTAAGTGAAAAATGTTTATCAGTAGAGTTCCCACATGGCAAATCACTGCTGTATAATAACAAGCCCACGAGACACTTCATGATTCACAGATCTAACTCCCACCTGCTGCTTGCACCCACATCAGGGTTTTTCTACACTCATGCATGATGAAATACAGCAATCTCTCCCTCCCAATTCTGAAAGTTTGGAAGATGGGCTCAAGCATTGCCACGTGCAGGCGGTTGGGTTGTTTTTTTTCATGCATTTACTCAGGGTCTTTCGATTGGGGGCTGTACCATCCCGTATGCTTGGCTAGCATCTTGTGCATTTAGAATTCTCTTTTATCATATTAAAGCACAGTGAAAATGACCCTTCCAACCCCTACCATTCTGTGATTCTGTGATTCTGTGAAGTTTTTCCTAACAACAGTAATAACTTCTGACTGCCTTGTCTTGTCTAAGCATACCAGGTGTATGATTTATACCTTACACCATAATAATACATTTTTATATCTTCACTTCAGCTAGGAATTGGCCGGGTGTACATTCAGTTTCCCATTTATTTTCTCAGAAACAGGAATCATCCTCAAGTTATTCTAGTAACTACAGTCCGCTAGAAAAGAAAGGCTAGACTATGCCTTATAGGAGGGTGGGAGAGGTGCATAGGTACAGTCTGTGGCCTTATTAAGTCATTAGCTTAAGAGCACTCTCCACCACCTGAAATATTCTCTCTGAAAGTACATATTGACCTCTGCTGCCTGCCACGCTTATGACCAGCAGGTTAGGTGTGTGCTGTCGTCAGTCAGTCCTATTCCGAGTCAGTGCGCTGCCTTCAAAGGCTGCTGCTGTTCAGACCCTAATCATATCTCAGTGGAAGTAGAAGAGATGGTCATGCTGTGGCTACCATTAACCCTACTTTTGTGATCAGAGTACTTGTCCAAGAAACAGGACAGCTCAACAGAGAGCTTTCAATCCATCTTTTGCCCTGAAATGTCACTAGGCAGCAAAGATCAACATTTTGTTGGAACAGAGAGAAAAAGAGGGACCATGCTAAAGAGGAATTGTACTACTGTAGCCAACTGATAGGTTTTTCAAGTGAGAATGAGGAGTTCAGGGCTTCCTTTCTTAGCCATGTCAATCTTGAATGTTCCTCGGCAGACGGTCTGAGAAAAGGAGGGTCGCCTCCTTGCAGAGTACAGCCCAGTAGATGATAAGTAGTCTGCCTCCAGTCCAACAAAGACATGTATTTAAGATCATGAATAGCATCATTAAGATCAATTGTGGGTTTTATGTACTTACACATTGGTTTTAGTGCTTTCGTAAAGCCATACCAGCACCTTGTACTGGCTTCCACCCCTAGGCCATAGTTAAATATCACTTTCTAGGTGTAGCTGCCACCCCTAAATGCACTTTTCCCTCCCTTTTTCTGGCACTTACCACTTTCACCATTTTGCCAGCAGGTCTGCTCATGTAAGTACTGCCTAAACCATTTAGGTTGCGATGAGCCAGGTAAGAAGAGACCTGTTGCATCAGCTGTCTCAGCAGAAGGGAGTGAGGAACTGCCCAGTTACACTGCTCTACCAGCAGATGTGAAGAGCTGGAGCTGAAAATACAACTAACATTAGAACAGAGCTCTACTCTTTCTGCACAGAATCAGTTTAAAGCTGCCCCAGCCTGGCTAGTTCTGTATGCCTAAATTCTAAGCGAAAATGTTCAAGAAGCAGACCTACTCTAATACAGAACTTTCTGTTTAATTTTGTAGCCCCCAAACCAATAAGCCATTCAGTGTCTTCAGTCAACCTCCGCTTTGGTGGACGTTCAACTGTGAAATCTGTTGTATGCAAAATGAATCCCATGTCTGATGCTGCTTCTTGTGGATCAGAAGTCAAGAAATGGTGGACAAGACAATTAACTGTGGAGAGCGATGAGAGTGGTGAGGACCTTCTTGATATCTGAGAAAAATTTAAGTCATACTGCAACAACAACAACTTCAAGTACAATCTGATTTTCTATGTTTAGAATTGAAGACGCTGTGTGATGTACAATTTCTTTAAAATCAGTGTCAGAAATTTTTTCAAATGCTTGTCCTTCTGCCATATGAAGCATAGCACACACTTATATGTAAGAATTAGCCTCTATAGGTACTAACAGTATTTCAAGAAACCTGTATACAATAGCAGTACTAACAAAGCCAGAGAGACTGTATCGCCTTTAGCGACAGAGCATTGAGAGATTTCATATGTTCTGTAGCTGCATAATGAAAACGTATTTTGATATACGCAGCTCTGTGTTTTTCTTCAATCTATACGGTACTTTAAAGTGGCAACACTTCACAATACAGGGGTAATGTATTTCTTCTTTTTGTGTTTTCCGTAAGTTCCTATTTAGTAACATTTCTTTAGAAAGCTTTTATTATTCACAAATGACCTGAAGAGGTCAGCACTGACTTCATGTTCAAGGGAAGTATTTTTACGAAGTACAGACTCTGAGTTACAATTCTAAGCTTTTTCTGGGCCTTTTTTTAAAATATGCAAGACATGGGATAACACATTTTAAAATCAGAAGGTTGAAAGAATTGGCTTTTAAAGTGTAAATGTCTTTGGGGTTTGGTTAATTATGCAAAGAGCTTGATTTTCATAGAGAAAACAGGGAAAAAAAAATTGAAAAGAGATGAAAACTGTGCATTTAAGCATCCAGCAAAAGACTTCCATGTGAAAAACATGGGTTATGCTTCATTTTCAGAATGTACTGGTTACATATATGTATGGTGTCATTGTTCATCTGTTAATTGGGTCCCATTTCCTTGTGTAGTCGTAAGATAACTTTCTTCTTGTCTGTGTGATAAAAATCAGCATGTTGGAGGTTCTAATTACAGAGTAGTATTGTATGGCTTTTAAAATACAGTTCAGTTTTGCCTGTATAGGTAGAAGTGAATTTTACTTACCCGTGTTACTACTCATGCTACAGCCCTGCAAAGCTAAGGCATGACACTGTACTGTGGTTAAGTACTTTTGTCCCTTTTATCCCAATGCATCGCATCGTATTTTGGCCTGTTAGACTTCTTTTGTTTTATGAAGCACAAATAGTGCTACGTTATCGCTTGTGAAGAAGCAGCTATCCCTTTCATAAAAGTTTTTCAAGTGAAAGGCCAATGCTATAGATACAGAGGTGGGGAAGAAAAGCCACAAAATGCAGCAGAGTTTGTTAGTTTCAGAATTTAATGCTGTCTGAAAATATGGAGTAAAAATGCACCCTTCCCTCAGGGAGGAACTAAGAGGTTGCAGATTTTGTAGCTTGGGCCCAACTGGGTTTTTTTAGCATAGCTGGGACCTTTCTGTTACCATTGTTTCCTATGGAAATGATAGGTTGTTCTGACATGGCCTGATGTGAAATCTTGTAAGAGGATCACAGTTAATGTACATCAATACTTAAAAAATATGTCCTTTAAAAAGCAGACAAAAGCCAGTGCTTTGCAATGTTTTCTGGCCAAAATATTAGTGTAGAATGGTCAGAATACAGCATTGTTTTCACAGATGCCTTCACCATAAATGCAAAATGAGTTTGGCCATAAAATACAGTTTTCTTGGCATCTATCAATGTTTTGTTCCCTGTGTATGGTTGAACATGGTTTAGATCTTTTTTGAAAATAGTCATATTGAACACATCTGTATTTTGTGGGGTTTTTTTGTGTTTTGGGGTATATTTAAGTTTAAATCTAGTCAAGTGTAACTCTATAGTAACAGAACATGTGCATTCTCTTGTTTACTAGATTATGAACCATCAACAAAACTTCATATGCAAATCCCTTCTTTTGTGTTGTTTTGTGCTTAAGTTGAGCTTTTGTATATACAACAAAAAGATAAATATTGGATTTATAAAAGATAGTATCTTTGAAAGTTCAATAATATATTGAACTGCAAATCTTTCTGAATCATTCTTGCTGCAAATCTTCTTTTTAAAAAATCTGACAAACATTTTTTCCTTGCCTTACAGTACTCTGTCAATAAAAGTGAGTTGCTTTAAGCCATATTCCTCCCTCTGGTTTTCATTCCAACTGCATTCGCTATATCTGGCTCATCTGTGATAATGCTGCATAGTGGCTAGGTGTGTGGTTTGTACAGGATTGTTTAAAGAGGTGCTTTCAAACTCTTCTAGTTGGACGGCGTTTGTTTTTTTGGTGAGAAGTCTGAAGAAGAGAAGGCTGCGAGGGGACCTTATAAATGCTTACAAATATCTGAAGGGTGGGTGTCAGGAGGATGGGGCCAAGCTCTTTTCAGTGGTGCCCAGTGACAGGACAAGGGGCAATGGGCACAAACTGAGGCACAGGAAGTTCCGTCTGAACATGAGGAAGAACTTCTTCCCTCTGAGGGTGACGGAGCACTGGAACAGGCTGCCCAGGGAGGTTGTGGAGTGTCCTTCTCTGGAGATATTCAAGACCCGCCTGGACAAGGTCCTGTGCAGCCTGCTGTAGGTGACCCTGCTTCGGCAGGAGGGTTGGACTAGATGACCCACAGAGGTCGCTTCCAACCCCTACTATTCTGTGAAGTCCAGCAACCAATCTCATCAGTACTGCCACAGGAGGTCTCAGTCAAAAAATGGGACTAAATAGGACTGTTCATTATTTATTTTTATTTAACTCCCTTTCTTTGTTTGCTTTACAGCCTGGATGAGAGAGAAAGAGACAGAGAGTGTCTGTGTGTCTTTGTGTGTGTCAGAGGGAAATTTGTGGTGGAAATATTGTAATGGTTTCCGAGACTGCCGTCCAATGTCTTCCAAAACACTGGAGATCCCTAGACCATCTAATTTAATCAGCAAGCTGGCTCTGAGAAAGCAATGCTCACCTGTTTATTCCCCCATTTAACTTTTGCAGATAGAGAAATGAAGTTACAAAGATACGAAAATAATACGTACTAGAGCACCCAGGCTACTAGGTTACGGTGAAAACCTCTTTAGTATGGCACCCCTGACATAACTAAGGAAAGTGGTAGCCTTCTACTCTGCAGCAGAGCAACCAGTGCACATTTGCACATGAAGGTGAAGAAGCAGAGAGAAGAGTTGAAAAACAATGGAAGTTCAAACAGCCTCTGCGTAAACAATGGGGAGTGACAAAGAGGGAACGGTGCATCAGGAAGTCAGAGTCAGTCCAGACAGCCAGAGAGAAAGTTCAAACAAGAGCAGACCCTAGACAAAGGTAAACAAAAAAATTGCCAGGGGAATATTACCACCCACAATGCCCTTGGCTCCTGGAATTAAATCTAGAGTTACCCTGTACAAATGAAAAGACTCCTTTTCATCCACTAAGAGAGCTCTGTTCCGTAGGAAGCAAGTTGTAAAAGTCTTTGTGGCTTGGGTGGGCAAGAAGTGTAGTACATGATGTCAGTGCTTGAATAAAACACAGCTTGTGGGAAGCCTGAGAACGTGCAGCAAAGATGTAGCTCAATATCATTCCAAAGTCAGGTCAGATTTCAGAAAATCACTTTTGTAGTGAAGAAATTAATAACCTGAAACCATTTACTACTGGAAGATAGCCAGCTGAATTACGAGCTAAAAACATAAAGTACACTTTTATCTGACAAGCTGGAAATACCATCATTGTTTTAGCTAATGAGGACCAATCACGCGTAAACATCTTCAAAATAACATTACATTCAACATTGTCTGCATTCAAAGACCAGTATCACAGATTCTCAGAAGCCAAGATTTAGATGCCAAAAGCAAGTGAATGACTTTGTGAATAATCTTATTTGTTCTCTTCTTTTATTCACAACATGCCCACAGCTCTTGTTATTGCGCAGATAAGGATATCCACGAATAACTGAAGCAGAAGAGTTCACACTGTTGTAACAGGACATTTGGAGCCCCAGCAAGCAAGATGTGTGCTAAACCTCCCATCCAAGAATGCCTGCTCCTTCTCCTACAACATTTCGACAAGTGAAAACAAACACTGGCCTGAGCTGTCAGTCAAAATTACCAATAGGATTATCTCAGTCTCCCTGAATTTAGCTTTAGGAGGCTAAATTTATTCCTTCTGTTGAAGGCAGTTTAGTCACACTGCAGATGAACTTGCCACCACGCATAGGCTGATGCTGGGTAGCTGGCTGCTCTGATTTGTCCAATTGCTCTGCAACACAAAGGAAGCCTCGCTAGAATTCAATTAACCTTCCTCTTCATCCCAAGGGTGCATGTGTCAGACGACATTAGCAGCTGTTGCCCATTGTTCTCGATGAAGAGCCTCTAAGCACCAAGTTATTAACCCATCAGTGAGATAAATGTACAGGCAGTGCCATTCTATCCCCCTTCCGCAGATGCCTGTCTCAGATACTCGTTCCAGTACCCTTACTGGTTTCATGCTTTTGCCTGACTTGCATATCTGCACTGGGGAGTTTAGGCAAATTACTTGGGCACCTACAAAGCTGTGTTTCCTAAACAGGCAGCTTACTGGAAAGGCAAGAAATGTCTAAGTACAAGTAGAAAAGGAAAAAACACCTGTCTTTCAGCCTGAAGAGGTGTTGACATCAGCCTTTTCTTCAAGCAGCAGCCACCAGTGGCACAAGCCTCCAGTGTTTCAACGGGCATTGTTTTGTTTCAGGAAAACTTTTGTCAAAGTTGGAAACAAACTGGTTTATACCAGATAGGCATCAGTAAGTCATAGAGACTTGGGCAGTCAAGTTCTAATGGGATCCTCCACATGATGCAAGTCACTGCGGTGCGATTACTGTTTGTGAGCACATTCAGCCCCAAAAATAAGAGAAGAGGGTTTGCCCTTGAGTTTATTGGCAGAGAAACTCGAAGTCACATCCTCTCTCGTGCCCTGTAGTCTGGTTTTCTTTTAGGTTTTGCTCCCCAACTGCATGTAAGGTGGACAGTGCCTTAGCGTACTCTGTGTTCTCAATACATGTTCCAAAGAAATGGAGGATTCAACACAGCTGTGATTTTGTTATAATGTGCCTGATACCAGTTTATAAGGGTAATGAGTCTTGCTTTTTTATCTCAGCACCCATTCCACAGAACTACATGTTCTATGGATCAGGTGCTTTCATCTCTCAGATTTTCTAAATTCATACTGCCTGGGGAGTCTGTTTACTGCACGTTGGAAAACAAGAAAGGAAAAAAAAAGTGAAAAAGAAAAAGAGAAAGAAAAAGAAAAAAGAAAACAGAAAAAGGAAAAAGAAATAAGAAGAAGATAGAAGGAGGAGTTACTTGGCTGTTGGGTTTTGAGGGTTTTTTCCATTTTAGAAGGTATTAAAAAAAAATCTATCTTCCTACATAAAGACAAGCTTCTCAGTTGTTCTGACCAAGCTAAGAAAACAAAAAAAATGTTTTACCTTTTTCTTAATATGCCCATTTCTCAAATGCACCTCAGTTTTGAAATGTTTTCATGCTTTGTCTCTTCTTTTTACTTTAAAATGGCATCAAAACCTTTTTGCTATGTTTGACTTAAAATTGTCAATATTTTGGTCAATGAAAAACTGATTTTCCCCATGAATTTTTGTCGTGCACAAAATTTCACCCAGATTTGTTTGTTAAGTCCACCACGAAAAGGTTCATCCTCGTGGATGAAAAACAGGACATGAGTCAGCAATGTGCACTCACAGCCCAGA